GGTTAGGGTTAGGCTGGCTGGCTGGGGAATTCTGGGAGTTGAAGTCCACGCATCTTAAAGTTCCCAAGGTTGAGAAACACTGCTTTAAAGAGTATTTTTAAAAAAAAGAAAAAGAGGAAAAGAAAAAAAGCATTTCCGTGTCTCTTTAAACGCATTCCTGACCCAGCCTCTTCTTGCTCCCCATCGTCATTTCCCCCCACCCGTAAGGGCGACCCAGCCAACAGTGCTGGAGTCCAGTTCCCATCACTCCAGCAGCCAGAGCAATGGGATCTGGAGTCCCTCAGCCTGGCTGAGGCTGCTGGGCGCCGCCACTCAGTCCCCGCGCTCTTCCTCCCGGGTGCCACACGGTGCCGTCCGACCGGCGTTCAGCACCTCCTCCGTCCGGTGGCCCACCTGCCCAGCTGAAACGCGGCTGCCAACCCCAAGGTCTCCAAACCAGGGAGGGCCCGATACCCAGTTCCCCGTGGCGAACGGGGCTCGGCCGCCTCTTGAACCCTCGGCCGGGCTGCAAACGATCTCTGGGTCTTCTCCCCAGAAAGGAGAAGGGTTGGGGCGTGAGGCTGCAACTGCTGGGTTGGTATTTTTGCAGCGAACGCAGAAAGCCGGGAAGCGAGAAGAGGAAGTGCTCCACTTCTCGTTTCTTAACGTCGCTTTAAAAAAAAAAAATCCCCCGAGATTTATTCAGAGTAAAAGTCACCTTCTCCAAAAGGGCCTTTAGTTCAAGGCGCAGAAGTCACGGCCAGGATGGACTCTGTGCATGCTCAGAGGCGTGCAAACCTCCCCCACCTTTGGGGAACCTCAGGGCGAAACAAGAGCTGGGTTCCTACCGGAAGGATACCACAGAAAAACCGAGGAGAAAAACAAACGGCGTCACTGAAGGAGGTGGGGAGCAGAAACATCCCCGGTGAATTGGAAATCTGGCATCAGCAAACGGGGAACGGCCCTTTCCCCCCTGAACTGCTACTTTTCTACTGGCGGGGAGCCGGTTTCTAATATGGACCCCCTTCCCCTTTTCCTAACCGGCTGGGTCTCACTTGCTGGAGAAAAACGGACAATGCACCATAAGTATTGAGTTTTTACTTCTTCCAGCCCCTCCCCGCCAGTGCCAAAGTGTGATCAGCTATTTTGGGCCTGGTGCACAAGCAGTTCACACTTCCACCATCACCTGGCTGTGGAAACAGGAACACCAGTGCGTCCTGCTTCCCCTCCTGTCCCCAAATGACCGGCTGGCTCGGCCCTGCAGCAAAATCATTTTCTGCAAAAGACCGTTCACAGCCCTCCAGCCCTGGATGACCAGACGGGTGGGTGGGGGGCTTCGGCTACCAGCCCCACCCTTTGAACTCCTGTCTGGAAACTGCATTGAGGGAGCCAGGAACCTGGAGGCTCTGATTGGCTTTAGCCAACCCGACCCTCTGCTCTCAATTTCTCCTTGGATTTTTTTGCAAAAAGCCCCCGCGCAGTCTGC